CAAGAATGCCTGTGCCGTTGCGAAAGGGACGTGCAATCTTGATAGATCTACCGTTCCACGGATGTTCTTCGCATCGCAATGAAGCATGATGAAGAGAAAGAAGAGAGAAGAGAGAGAAAGAAAGAAGAAAGAAAGAAAGAAAGAAAGAAAGAAAGAAAGAAAGAAAGAAAGAAAGAAAGAAAGAAAGAAAGAAAATTTGACAGATTCCTTGTCACCTTAGGAATCGGGGCTAAGAGAAGCGTGCGGTTGCAAGGTGAATATGTTTTAATATTTAGGGGAGAATCTCCTTATAGCATCACGTGGTCGGTCTTCGGTTGGCGTCGCTCAACCCAGCGTACCACCCCAGTAGCGTCTCCCTTATCATTCAATAAATGGCGCTGTCCCATAGAGATGCACACAAAGTGCAGTTGGGTGACGATATGCTACATCGCACCGTACGCATTCTATGCCTTCATCGCCATTTCTCGTCTAGTTAGGAGTCCTAGATGGCGCTGTCCCACAGAGATATTCAATATGTCTTTTTGAGCGAATGTACACTAGATGGCGTTGTAAGTGCAGCTGCTCTCCGATTGGCTGTTTCACGGGCTGCACGGGGCTGTGCGAGGTGCGAGTGCCATAAAAGGCCGCTCGCTCCCGTTATCTGTCATTCTCCTAAATCGTCACTGTACGTGGAGGAGTACGCTTGCCGGATCATGTTTGGTTGGACGCATAGATGGACGCACGAACGGAAGCACAGACGGAAGCTTCGCCCCACTTATCATCAATCACTCCGTGGTTATGTCATGATTTGTTATTGAGCGAAACATTAGGAAGATGTGCTATATATACGTACAAATTCCCGCACACAAGTGCGTTAAACAGCCGCATATGTTTTATATTAGCAGTTCGCAGTTGCGTAACGATTCCAACAGCAAGACTGATATTAATAACACCAGAAGCGGTAAGCTAATATGAAGCGCTGGTGAAGCGCTAGAGGGCACCTAACTACACTTGACGTTAACCCAACATGACGGCTGTATCATAGCAATACATATGTAATGTTTATGAAATTTGATAGACAGTACTGCAGCCAGAATTACGTTTCAGTATGATTGGGGTCTATTTGCAAAGTATTTCCGAGACCTGGCGCGGGTCTGTGGTTGAATACTAGACCACCACGTACAGTGCTAGGGTTCGATTCCTGCTGGGACTCTGACATTTATTCTTTGCATTCGTCCGGTCAACGCTGCCCGGCAGCTTTTTCGTAACGCACAGGCGTTAAAGTTACTCATGTGTGTTCTAACCGTTCCTGGGTATAATAAGATGTCTATCACCTGTTGCGCATACCCTCATACTTGTGGCAAAGACGCGCCCCCGGGTATGTGCCACTGTTCTTTGGAAAGTGTTTCATGACGTACGCGTTAAAATTGTTAAATTATTCATGTCATGACGAGCGCATAATGTTCGCCAAAGCATCTTACATTCCCGTAATAATTTTGGTGTTAAAGGGGTCATCACGAGGGCACCCAGACGTAGATAGATAGATAGATAGATAGATAGATAGATAGATAGATAGATAGATAGATAGATAGATAGATAGATAGATAGATAGATAGATAGATAGATAGATAGACAGGCAGATAGATAGATAGATAGATAGATAGATAGATAGATAGATAGATAGATAGATAGATAGATAGATAGATAGATAGATAGACAGACAGACAGACAGACAGACAGACAGACAGACAGACAGACAGATAGATAGATAGACAGATAGATAGACATATAGATAGATAGATAGATAGATAGATAGATAGATAGATAGATAGATAGATAGATAGATAGATAGATAGATAGATAGATAGATAGATAGATAGACAGACAGACAGACAGACAGACAGACAGACAGACAGACAGACAGACAGACAGACAGACAGACAGACAGATAGATAGATAGATAGATAGATAGATAGATAGATAGATAGATAGATAGATAGATAGATAGATAGATAGATAGATAGATAGATAGATAGACAGATAGATAGATAGATAGATAGATAGATAGATAGATAGATAGATAGATAGATAGATAGATAGATAGATAGATAGATAGATAGATAGATAGATAGATAGATAGATAGATAGATAGATAGATAGATAGATGTCAAAAGTGCTTCCAGTACTCAAAGAAATACTTCGCATTTAAAACTACAGCCTGATGCGTATTTCGCAATGGACAAATGCGGAGATGCGACTTACGATTACAAGCGTGACGCAACCCTCGAGCAGCATACGGCGCAAAGGTACCGTGCAGCTACATTCACGCTTTCACAGCATTCCTCCACTGGCTTCTACACATGCTGTGGAATGTTTTCGCTATAGCTTGAACTAACCTTGCATGAACGGCAACTCATCATAACGTATACGCTCCACCGCACAACTTGAAGGCAAAGGTTTCGCAGCAGTGTCTTCGACATTAAATGTCAGGTGGGCTTGAATTTACAGCTTTTCTTTTATGTGAGCAGAAGACCTGCCACGAATTTGTGTCACTTTCCTCATGGGGCGGTGTCGGTGCATTTAACCACGGCAGGCAGTTACCTGCCGAGGCTGCACGCAACTTGCGGGCGTCGTAGATTTCGCAAGCGCGCGGTGGTCCATATACCTGCGCGCGTGGAAGCGAACGACTATCTTAATCCAAGGTCGCACATGCGTATTTATAACGATTCCGCGGCGTGTTGTATGTGTTCGCCATGTGTGCTCACAGGATTTGACTGGATACGGGCCTTGGATATATAATAGCACGCTATAGGCTACGGCTGATTAGCGGAGTTCGCTGATCCGTTCCACGCAGGCGAGACCGTTCGACGTCCACGATGAGGCAGTTCGTTACGGGCTTATCGTATTCTTTAATGAACAAGGCCGAAATCTGTGGCGCTGAAGAAGCTCGCGTTATCCCTAGAGCAAACTCCGCTCTATAAAACCTTTCTGTCGCTTCGTCATGCAGTCTTGACTTTCTTAATTTCCTTTATTAATTTGGGAGACATGAGCATCCGTTAGAGTACATGAAATTGATGAGCCGTGAATTCTCAGATACGAAGCCGAGATAACATTCGTGTGCCATCGAGGTAGACGTTCGCTACGGAAAGAATTTTGTTTTGTAGAGGAGTATATGGTTGCAGTTAAACTGCTTGGAGGATAAAGCTGTATACCGATACGACGCCCGTGACAAACAGAACGTTCGAGACGGCTTCAAGAAACGTAAACTCAGCGTTAGAGTCCGCCACTGTGGATCAGTGGCTAAGGCACTCGGCTGCTGTCCCTCAGGTCGCGGGATCGAATCCTGGCTGCGACAGTCGCAATATTTGAAGGAGGCGAAAACGCTTGCGGCCCATGTGCTTAGGTGTTGGTGCACGTTAAATAACACGAGACGGTTAAAATTTCCGGAGCCCTCTACTACGAGGCCTCTCATGGTCATATGATGGTTTTGGTACGTTAAACCTCAACGATTATTATCATCACATATACAGGTCAAATGACGTTATGAAACCAATTTGAAACGAGTTTCTCTTGAAATCAAAATGTCCTCGATTCGTGATCTTTGAAGGAAAGTAGACAATAACCAACATTTCTTGAGTTCGACCATAACATCCGAATAAAAACGTCAGTGCTGCGCGGAAGACGCAGCACAGTCACAGCGAAAGCTAGAAGAGTATTATTCACAGCGAAGCTCACACAGTCACAGCGAAGCTAGAAGAGCATTAACAATAATCTTTAGGTAGTAGATCAGCATTTTCTATGCTATTTTTGGTCATTCTTCTGAGAAGCAGGGCATCCGCTAAACACTTGCAAAGAATTTTGTGCCAATGGTTCATGCAGCGGGTTACGATGATGAGAAATTATGCCTGAAGTGGGTATGCGTGACAGTTGTAGCTGGACAAAAACAAGCTTTTGTAATGGGTTGGAGCGTTGGACCCACTTGTATACGCTATTCGATCTGTGCGATGACTGTTTGTTCTTTAGCTGTTTTAAAACAATTTAAAGTCGTATTAATGCGATTCCTATCCCGGCATCAAGCCTGCCTAAAGCAAGTTTACCGAACAAGTCCCAAGCACGGTGGTAGATTGCTGGACTAGCACGCAGATGACCCGGTTTTGAGCCACATTGTATCTTTGATACTAGGTTTTTTTTTTCTTATTTCGCGATGGCGGTTACGGACACCAGTGGTGGCGGGCAACTACGGCGGCGCGCGTGACCCGAGTTTTGATCTCATAACACCTTTCGCTGTAAAAGCCATGGCTCAACTATTTCAATTAGACACTCCGTCTAGGTATGCGGAAAGCGAGAAAGTAATGATGTGCGAAACCCAAGATATTTATAAACTACGCAGACGTGTTGCAAAACCGAAATGCTGTCAAACTTCCTCAAGATAGAAAGCTGCCAACGGAGGGAAAGCGTCTCACTTTCTATTACATTGCATTCAAATAGATTACTCTCACTGGATAGAAATACTTCTATAACCGGAAACGTGAGATAAAGTTGCATTAATAGGACATGTAACAGATTTGGTACTATAATTATGGCAGCGTCTAAAAAAATTCAAAAAATTAACAAAAAAAACGTGACAAGCAGGGACAACAAAATGACGAAGATTATCAGAATAGGATCTTTTTAATGATGATTTGTAGAACGCTCGTTAGAATGTGTTATGATGGTATTCTATCATCTTCTCTAGGAGTTGATAGCATATGCCAAGCACTACCTAGCATGTACAGTACCCTCCATTGTTAAAGGGAACACTACAATGAGCACCGTTCGCATTAATTGATTGATATGTGAGGTTTAACGTCCCCACTATAACGCACGGCACTATAGTCTGTCAAAAAAAGCTAGAGCCGTCAATCACTGGTAGTCTCTTGTAAATATAAGGCACTATACCTTTGCAAGAGAGTGAGGTACAAACACGCTGCACACGAACGTGTTCCATTTAACAGTGGACTCGACTGTAGAGGCGCACCTACCGTTCAGGCATCGATATCGCACCAGTAGCGAGCCCTCGCCTCTGCAACGCCGCTCGGCCTGGTCCCGGCTCAGGCTGAACAGGCAGTGCACCTCGCCTGAACACCTGCACGAAGAGGTACCGTACATTATAAACACTTAGGCAACAGCTGGTTACTAAAGAACGGTTATTAATACAAATGGCGAAGCAGCAATAGCATCAGGCAACAGCTGTTGCAAACAGACTACGGGCATACTGTAGCAGTAAAATTAGCAGCAGCAGTTTACACAGCCAGTGAAACCAACATACTGTTCAACTCGTGAAAGTACTGGGTGCGACAGTTATTGTGCTCAATTGAAGGTTATGATTGTGACCAAAATTGAAAGGTGTTAAACTAAACAAAGAGAACCCCGTCTGTTGGCGGGATCCACACCCACAAATTTTAAATTACGCGCCCCATGCTGCCCCACATGCATGGCTTAGTTTAACGTTCCTTTAACTTGATTTGCTGTGTTGAACAAAGACGCGAACCCTTCGAAAACTTACCCTTTAATACTAATAATGTCTGGGTTTTCACGTCCCAACAGCACCACGTGATTACGAGAGACGCCGTAGTAAAGGTATCCGGAAATTTTCACCGCCTGGTGTTCTTTAACTTGCACTGGCATCGGACAGCACACGAGCCTCGACCATTTCAGCTCCACCAAATTACCGCAGCCGGAACCGAACGTGTGGCCTTCGGGTCAACAGCGGAGCACCGCAGCCACAAATCCAACGTGGCGGACTACTTTACCTTCATTAGCACTGTAGTAGTTGTACTTTTAGTAACACAAGAACTTCGGGTATCTCTTTGACTTGTGAATAATAAAAGATAATATCTTTAAATATGTCACATCATCTTCGAAGATTGTGGTGGGAAACTGTGAATTGAAAGTGTGTACATTCGTTTTCTTTGTAAACTTTTGGGATTGGTTATGAGGACAACAGAGCTTTCACGGTATATTTGATCAGTCTCAATTAATTTAGTGTTTCACACAAATGTCTCTTTAAGCATAAGCTAAATAAAATAAGCAAACTACATTACCAACCACATCACACTATGAAACGGACAGCTGTTTTCCTGAGAATACACCTGGTATGTGCGAAAAAAGCGTAAGAAGAAATCCGATCACAACGCTACCTTAACATTCCTACAGCAACTTTCTGTGACATCACAGGTTTTGATGGCGTCTGCTAGCTCCTATATATATAGGGAGTTATAGAATAACGTTTGTAGGTGTTGCGGGCGTTGCTTTAGTTGCGGGCTTCGTATGAGCTTTAGAATAGCGTTTGCTCCCGCTAGGGAAAAGTCCAGAGACTTTCGCCCCGACCGCAAACCCAAATGCACGGAAGCTACAGAAAGAACTTCACGGGTCTCACGGGCCGCGATCGCCGAACAATATTCGGGATCTCCTGCGGGTGGGCCGCGAATGTAAAAGGCGGTTCGCGTTACGATGCATGCGCAGTGGCAGCAAACGCACCGCAAGAGCTCGCGGTGCACTATTCTAAACCTTCCTTGTATCTTTACCAGTCTTTATAACGAAGTACACTGTCCTCCAAGGAGACCATTGGCTTAGTGTATCAAGCTTGAGAAAATTTCTTTGAACCACTGTGCCCAAAATAGAAATCACAAAATGAAAGAAGAAACATTTTGACATCTTCGGCGTTACGCTGACGTTCACTAGGCCGAATTTTCGGCCGAACTTTTTTTTCAAATAAAGCTTGACCTTTACTTTCTCATCTATCAATAAATTCATGATGAAAAAACTGTAATGAATGCTACGTTAAAGTAGCATAATAAATTCGTTTAAACCGATTCCTTTAATGATTGCTCAAGTTTAATCTTTCTAAAGCACGACATGGTTATGAAAAACGCCGCAGTGGAGGGATCCGGAAACTTCAAGCACCTGGGAATATTTAAGTTGCACCTAAATCTAAGCACAAGGGCCTCAAGCATTTTCGCCTCCATCGAAATTCCAACCGCCGCGTCCGGGATTGGATCCCGCGACATTCCGGTCATCAGTCGAGTATAACTCCCGTGGCGGGTAAATTAATTCAGCATTTGCCTTTAGCATTCTTTTGAGACCTGTACAAGATTATGTTCGCCATATTCTTTTGGAGTGCGTTAAATCCGCGAATGAAAGAGAAAAAATTAAAAAACAAATTAGCAAGTTCGGACAGACGGCCCCTCACAATAAAGAAACTACTTGGAGCATGGCCTGAGATGCATCTCCAGAAAAAGGCAATAATCTTCCTGACAGACTTTTTAGTGGAGACCAGACTGGACAAGCGCCTATGACTGACAGCCAGAGATGGGTATTATGTGAATGTGGTCATGTATATACTGACATTAGATTAGTAAGGTGTGCGTGTAAATAGTTTATGACTGTGTGAACTGCGTGAAGAAAACTGTGTATTGGCATGTTGTTTGAACTGGTTTCAGTGTCCTATTATGTTTTTTTTTCCGTATTGTTAATTTTGCATACCGTTCTGTATTATTATTTTATTTTTCGCTGCAGAACTTTGTGATATGGAGTAGCCGAGGCAATAGGCACCTCAACCTCTCCACAGCAAAACAGTTAAAACAGAACAGAACAGAACAGATTATGAGCTGAATAATACCTTGTACGAGTCACCAAGGGCACTGCTTCCACCGCAAGACCGGGCGCATTTTCCCTTCCTCGTGGGTACGCGCAAGACTTCACTGACAACATGAACCACAGCGGCAACGGATCGTCTCATCGACAAGTGGCTATAACCCGTCTGGAGAGGGTTGCGCACGGTTTCGGGGGAGGGCTATGCGACGCGAACTCTTCCGCGCACTGGGACGGCCGTTGTGAGAGCCGTTCCCGTCGCAGGTGATTCATAAACAACGGTGATTTAAGAGTTCGTTCCACCCGGCAGCGGCACTTTAAGGAGAAATGCCGTGACCGCCACACCCACTTCGGTGCGCGCGCATCGCCGGCTATAGCCGTGCTCACTATACGGCGATAGCTGTTCAGGGGATGAGTTGGAGGTTGCGGACGTTTCGATTACACGCCCGCTATGCGTGGCATGCGCCCGACGTTCGGTTCTTGGTCTTCTTCTTGGCTCGGCTTACGCGAACCATCATCAGCCGCGGTAATGGGCGATGCCGCGAAATCGCGCCATCTAGATCGGCGTGAAAGATAAGGATGGAGTGAGCGCTAGCCGAAGATGGATGGCAAACGTTGACTGTGGGGCAATCAATGCGCGCAAAACAGAGCGTTGCGATAGTTGCTTTATGAGTTGGTTGTACGTGTTAAGCTATGTTCACACTACGGTCGTAACGTGCGTAACAGCTCGTTCGGCGTATCGAACGCAACGGCTATAAAAAGCGTTACCGCAGTTATGCCGATACCTTTGTTCACATTTACAGCTACGTACATTACGATTTTTACGATAGGCCAATCATATTTGTCGCTGTAGAATCGGCGTCACTAGCGGGAGGACGGAAGGACGGGAGGACGGAAGTCCCGTCAGGTCTCGTGACCGGTTGTTGAAAACCGAAAGCTGATCGGTCATTGGCTGTGTCGTAACAGTCGTAGTATCGCAGTCGTAAAAGTTTCCTAGCCTTTAACACTCTCACCCACGATTTATGCGTTCGTTGCGAACGTTGGTACCTTTACGTTCACAGTCTGAACTAGACGCATACGCTTGTTGTGCTTCCGCTTACGCGTGTTATAAAAAATCGACGCCTTACGACCATAGTGTGAACATAGCTTTATATAAAAGAGACCTATAGGCGGTTACACTCTAAAAAAATGATTGCTTTTTGATCGGCAATGCGCACAGGTATGACCACGAACACTAGACCAAGATCGGTGGACGTTGATTTTATTGATATGTAGGGGTTTAACGTCCCAAAACCACCGTTTGATTATGAAAGACGCCGTATTGGAGGGCACAGGAAATTTGGACCACCTAGGGTTGTTTAACGTGCACCCAAATCTGACTCCACGGGCCTACAGAATTTTTACCCCCATCGAAAGTGCAGCCGCCCCAGTCGCGATTCGATCCCGCGTGGGGGGCATTGAGGAAGCAGGATGAAGGAAGGAGGAAGGACAGAAAGGTTAGCCTCAGACCGGTTGACACAAACACGCACGCACGCACACACACACACACACACGCACACACACACACACACACACACACACACACACACACACACGCGCGCGCGCGCGCGCGCGCACACATTCTTTCTCTTTCTCTCTTTCTCGGTGAACACGATCTACGGCTTCGCGTACCACTGCCAAATCGCCGTCTTCATTTTCTTTTCCTGAAGTCGGGTGCTTTCCGGTCTCGTTCACCGCCCAAAGGAGGGCGCTACAACGGCATAGTGCGTCAATACGTCACGCCAGTATTCCTGACAACATGATGATGATGACGTTATCACGTCCAGTCAGGTTTTTATCGTTTGTTCCTTACGCCGCGAGAGGTCATCACCGGTGGTCAAACTTCCCGTTTAATGAGGCATCTAAGGCTCTCGACCTAATTAATTCAAACTCAACCCACAGAACAGAAGTGCGCTTGTTTATCACCCATCAAAGAGAGTCGCACGAGTTTGGTTTTCTTTCTAACCATATAAGTGACATTTTCTGTGCTAGTACAAGCATAAGGCATATCAAAAACCTCCCCGCTGGTGCAGGAACCGTGCGCTTCGAAAGACGCAACGCACTGCCCTGAAAACGGCGTCGACGTCTCTTCTTTGACGCCACTTGATGTTCAGTGCACAAATGACCCCAGTTATCAGGCTGCTGCTGTTGGAGTTGGCCCTACGACCCCGGTTATTTTCGAAAACAGTGGCGAAAACACCACAGCCTCTTCTGTTGCGGCCGCTCCGACCATTTCGACATCGCGTCGTACACGTAAAAAATCGCCCACACAAAGGGTGCCTACACCGGACTGCCGAGACGCGGACAGTGCTGCCAGCATCAAGAATGTGGATCCAAGCTTGCCGGCGGCTCAGTCCCTACCTCCTCAGGACACGTCTTCGGAAGACGGCTTCAGCCTGGGACTGGATAGTAGCATCGGACTGTCTAGCCTTGCCGATTTTGACGTTGAAATGG